GAGCGTCGGGCTCCCCTGGCAGCCTGGAAGGAGTCACAAATGCAGCATAAAGGTGAAGGCCCGAGAGCCGAGAGGGATGGGTGAGAAGGCAGCAGCCACCCGAGCCACCTGACCAACCAGCCAAAGACCCCACGCAAGCCAGGGACATACCTGATGAGCTTTTTCAAGTGTGTGTGACCGAGAGTGTTTCAGGCGGGGAGGGTGGAGAAATCCTTCCTATGCTAAACCTGGACACAACGTGAGAAGCTCAGCCTAGAGATGAGCGTGGTCCCAAGCAGCAGTGGGTTTTGGTACAGTGGTTCCCATCCAGATCGGATCTAGGGGGTGTGGGATTGCTCTGTAAGCTGGGTGAATCTCTTTCGACACGTGACTGCGGAAAACCAGGCCTCGAGGGTCGAGCTGTCCGTGCGCTGGGCCCGCCCATGGCGCATCTGCGCGGCGAGGGTGCAGCCTGCCGGGCACAGCGCCACGGGCCCCAGCGCTGCGAGGAGACGACGTGAGTTCCACGGCCGGGAGGACGCGGCCTTGCGTGCCGCCATCTTCAGCCCCTTTGGTGCAGAAGGCCGTGAAACGGTACTCGCTGCGTCCAGCCCTGGCGAGCAGTTGTTTGTTTTCATGGACATAAACAGGACACTCAGCAGCTAGTATCTTTACTGAATGAATTTATTGGTTTTTGAACTAAAGTTGCTCACAGTTATTTAACAAGGGATACATCAGATTTTTTGTCCATTTTAAACCATTAAATAATGTCAGTTTGTGTCTGTATATGTGTGTGTGCGCGCGTGTGTGTCTTCAAAGTACAAAATAGGAAGGATAACAAGAGGTATTGCTTTCATTTATTCTTATATCTTGTGTAAGTAATCCCCTTCCTGCTTGTACCACATGGGTTTTGCTGATATAGGTATTTTTAAATTATTATTATTATTTTGTATTGAAATCCCAGCCTTTTGTAGAGGTACAATGTAACAGAAGCATCAAAATCTATACACAAGGGAAGAGAAAAGAGGGAAAAGAAGGACGGGGGTGATGGGAGGGGAGCTCGGAGGAGAAGTAGAGAGAGGGCGGAGGCAGGAAAGACAACGAAAGCAAAAGAGACTAATTTACAGCAATGTCATGCAATTAAAACTGCCCCCCTCTCCTGCACCCTTGCCTCCCCCCCTCCCCAGCCATCACCCCCTGGTGTCTGACATGCACACAGCAATACGAGAGAGAAAAGTTTAAGAATAGGGAAAATAAATAAATAAATAAAACAAAAAATAAAACAAATCCCTCCCATTTGGGGGAATGGGGAAACGGGGCAAAAGTCAAAGGTCTTTGCCCCAGTTGTGTCTTTAAAAATTCTTTTTAATCTTCAAACCTATGTACAAGTAAAACTGGTCCAAGAAGGGGAAAAATGATTAAAAAAACCAACAACGACAACAACAACAAAAAAGAACTCATCCAACATTATCATTAAAAAAAAATAATCTTGCGATACAACATACACCCATAGGAACCCAACGAGCAGCAATCGAAGGTCATAAAAGAGCTGAACACTAATGCTAAGCCTACATTCTTAAAATCTCAGTCAAGAAGTACTTCTCACTGTGTTTTGTCTTCCACGCGTAAAACCACGTTTTTTTTGTTTGATTAACCTTTGAGCTTGGGCCAGAATAAGTTACACTTGGTCACATAACTCTTGAGGAGGAGGAAAAAAGGCGGTGATTCTTCTTTCTCAAAGTCACAAGATGAACACTTACGGGGTTTCTGTGTCTTTCTTCCCCCTCCTCGACAAAATAAATAAGAATCAATGTTGCCTCTACACAGTTATTAAACAGAAGATATATCTAACAGCTTATTTTTTTAAATATATATATATGTATATATAAATAACCAAGACCTAATAACTGAAACACAAAAAAAAAAGAAAAAAAAAACAAAACCAAAAAAAAACGGTCCCCCCATCCACCCAATCCCACCCTCCTCCCCTTCAAAAAACAAAACAAAACAAAAACTTTATAAAAATATCTTGCAGTAATTTTTAAAGTTTACAGTAGCTTCGTGATTAAGTCTCCCATCGCCCTGACTCCACCTTGTCTTGCTCTGATGAACTAAGTGCCAGTGATTTGCACACACACACACACAGGAAATAAAACCCAAGATAAGTCTCTTTTCTTCCTCCTCTTCATCTTCTTTTTTTTTTCTTTTTTTTCTTTTTTTTTTCTTTTTTAGAAAAAAATCACCCAAGCCAACAAATGAAACTGGTAACTTAAAGAAATAATAATACTGATATCAATGCAGCACTAGCAACACAACAATCGCCTCTAATGCAGGGAGTGGTGGAGGATCCAGCTGGTCGAAGAAGGTCCCAGCGCGGTGGCACAGTGGCAGGGAGCTGACAGGTGGGGAGGAAGGTGTCGGAGGAGGAGCAGCAGTAGCAGCAGCAGCAACTCTGCCTGGTGGCGGAGAGACAGTCCTTGGCAGAGTCTTGTCCCTCTTCTTTGCTACCAGAAGTTGCCTTTTCCCTAAGTTTTAATGTTTTGCTTGTATGTGTTTATTCATTGAACCCCCTCTCCCTCCTAAGTTTACTCCTTTCCCCTTCCAGCAGGTCAAAAAGCAAAATGATACAGTATAAAAAAAATTATTTTGCATATATATGTATGTGTGTATGTATATTTATATATAAATATACACACATATATACATGTATATATAAAAAAAGGGGACAAAAGAAAAGGAAAAGGTGGTGGGGAGAAAAAGAAGGTTAAGAAAATCCCGTGATGAAGCTCCCCAATATTGTCTTGGTTCAACGCTTAGTTTTGAGCTGCTCCTGGCTGGTTTCTGATGAGAACGCGCTCTGGATTCACACCACACTGCGCTCCCGCTACACCCGTCTCCTTCCCCACACCCTCCCGCTCCGGGCTGAGTTCGCCTGCGCGGACAGCAGTTGCCAAGGGCAAAGGTTTCACTCCAACAATTTGCAACCTCCTTTCAGCCCAGACTCTGCAATCCCACAACTGAGCAGATCTCTTTTGTGGAGCACCAAAAAAGAAAAAGAGAGGAGGAAAAAAAAAAAAAAAGCGTGCACTGGGGAGGTGTTTGGGGAGAAGTGGGGGAGAAACCCACTTCCTGAAGGGAGAGGGGAGGCTGGGAACCTCAAACAGGACTGGTCCTTGGACAGTCTACATCGGTTGCCTTCCGTCAACAAGTGTCCGCAGAGCACAGAAGGTGAAGCCGTGGCTGACATGTTAACTTTTCGGGATAATTCCTGGTAGCAGAGCGGAAACAAGTGGTGTCGTCAGAAACACAGAGAGAGCATGAACAGAACAAGAAACAAAACAAAAGAAAACAAAAAATAATAATAATAAAAAACCCAAAAAATCAGGAAGGAGGAAAAAAAGCAAAACATTCAAAAAAAGGGAGGAAAAAAAAACAATCAAAAAAACCACAACCCAAGATCTGGTGAACTGGGTTTGTCATCTGTGCTACCTTTTCTTTTCTTTCTTTTCTTTTCATTCTTTCATTCGTTTGTTTTTGTGTTTGTTTCTGAGATATATATTATATATCATATATAAATATATATATGTATATATATACAGTCATTCCTTCATACAAAATTTGTCTATAGACAGTTTTGTACTGTTGTGGCAAGGTATATACATCCTTCTAGTTTAGAGGCTAGCTTGCTAAGGAATATTCTTTCATTCTTTCTTGCTTTTTTGTTTTTTGTTTTTTTCTAAGTTATTTAATTTTTTATGTGTTTATTTAAGGTTGGTCTTGTAGGCCGACTGATGAGACCATCTTTGCCTTGTCTTTGCCAGCAGGGTACTTATTGTCTCCTCTAGACCCATAGTCATTAGAACCGGAATCGCTCCGCTTGCTGTTTGCGCTATGCTTGGTTGGCGTGCCGGGGGGATGGCTCACCTGCCCGTTCTTCTCGTCTGAAAAAAGTTGTTTAATTACGTCAAAGAAGTTACTCAATGGGCTGCCTGGGTACACAAAACAGAGGAGACAAAAAAAGAAAGAAAGAAAGAAAGAAGGAAAAAAAAAAAAAACGAGGGGGAAAGAGAGAGAAAAAGAGGAGAGAGAGAGAACAAACAAACAAATGAACAATGGGGTTTTTAACGAGAAGAACATGATGAGGAGATCCAGAGCCACGTGCGTGGGGGTGTGTGGGGGATGAAGACAATGAGCAGGAAGAGGAAGAGTGTTTAGGATGGGACACCTACAGAAATAAAGAGGCTGGGAGCATAAAGCACCTGGGGGGAAGGTCCTAGTTTTCTCCTGAGTGGGGGAGCACTGCTGTCTCACCTGGCAGGAGGACACAGTACTGTGTGGCCAAACCAGTTCAGTCTATTACTTGGAGTCACTTGGCCACTCCGCACTGAAACGTCAGTGAGTGTAATGCTGGGTACAGGCAGACCCCACCTCACTGCTGCTGTTACAGACCCGGGGGGCTTGGATGTGGTCGCCAACGGATGCTCTGCTTTGCAGCCTGGCTAAGCTCCCTGGCTGCACCGAGCACTAGGCTCTCCTTGCTTGCCTCGGACTTCTTTCCGAGTATCTCCTTGCTCACCTGTCAGTCACTGCGCCTGAAGCACCTGAGTGCTCCGAGGGAAGCAGCATTTGAAAAATGAGCTACGGCTGACGTGTGTATTGCCATCTGCACGTGTGGTTTGTGGCTTGTACTTGCAAGCTTCCAAGCACCTTCAGATCCTTCTTACAACAGGTACCTGGAAATTAAGACGCTGAATGTGTTGTGGAAGCAGGCTGTTAGCCATCTAACTGTTTCTGGGACCTACCAGGGTCAAGAACTTCCTCATTGTCCTGAATGTCTGTTCTCTCTACAGTACAGCCTCCGTGACACTGACAGTCACTCCAGCGGGGTCTGGAGCCAGAGAGGGGTGCAGGTTTGTGTGCCAGTAGAACAGGTATCTGCTGGAGGCAGCCGCTAGAGCAGGTTGCAGGATTCACACGGGTTGGGCACTGTGCCCATGACCACAATCTTTCATACCATTGGGACCTCCAGGCAGCAGGGTTGTACACTGTGTCAGAGGACACCTGAGGAAAGGCTCTGGGTGCTACGGAGGCAAAGGGACCAGTTACTACTGGAAAGGCAGCCTTTGGGGGGCATTTCTAGTCCCTTTTAATTTTCTTGGATTGGGGGACTAATCCTCGTCAGACATAGGAGAGGTCACACTAAATTCTCTGAACATGGATATTGAAGGTGTTTTTTATCTAACGTACACCATGGAGGCGATGTCCGTTCATGATCATTAAAACCCCATGATGCTTTTCTCAATATTGGAACTGCGGGCTCCATTGTTCTAACAAATTCAAACAATTTATATCCCGCCTAAATAAGTTCATTCTGCAGCTCCCAGAAGGAAATGGGCTCCTTGTATCTGCCTTCCAATGCGGTGGTGTGTTGTGAAGAGTGGAACCTTTCGTCCCCGAGATGGGAACATTCAGTTGGGAGCAAAGGGGTTTCTTCATAGCAGAGATTGCCATTTATCCACAGCTGGTGGACACTGGTGGCTTGGTAATATTATATTGCTCTTCACTTTCGTTACAAACATAAGCAAACCAGTTACTAAAGCAGGCAAGTACTTTCTGTGCACGGTAACTTGTCTGAAGAGCTTGTTGAGTGCTTTCTTATTCTCTGGATGGAAATGGAAAATGCCAGACAGACATCAACTGCTCTTATGCAAAGAAAGAGGAAATACATAGAATTTCTGCCCTGCAACACTGAATGCGTTAACTCTTTCTTTCCTGCCCCGTGCTAACCAGGTAGTTGCTGTTTTCCTCTGCAGGTTAACAGGCATTGAGAAAAATCAAATGGCCGGCACATACAGTGAAGGATCTCGATCTTATGCATCTAATTTACTCCTTGTCTTCCTCTACTTGCTGCTTTGTGGTTAACTTACTGCTGGCCCTGGTTCTGTCTGGGCACCCAGTTACACCAATGCCACAGGCAAACAACTGTTAGTTTCTGGAAGGGCATCGTTCAGCTAACTGACTCAAGCCCTAGAGACGGGACCAAACACACAGCCAGGCAAGGCACGTACCTCAATTTCTGGCTAAGAAGAGAAGGGCTATCAAACTCTCAGTTGTTTCAGGGTCAGACCTCCATAAGCTCCACTTGCTTCCTTCCACATGCATGCAAATGCTTTGGAAGGGGGTATCTGTTACACATCTATGACTTCTTTTTCAGAGATTTCCCTAAGCCTCCCTAAAACTGTTTTAGGTTTGCGGGCACATGCGCTGCTCAGATTCATTTCTACTTCTTTTAGGTGGATACTGTTTTCCAATAAAAATAAAGGAAAAAAGAAAGCAAACACTCAGCCTTGAATGCAGGAATGTGGGCAGATCTGGTTCTTATGTGGCTTTGGACCCCTCATCTTCATAAGCAAATGGAGTCAGCAGAGAGAATGAAAAAGAGCACTGAAAAAAATGCTGGAGAGGGAAAGACTGCTAGGTTGGGAGAAAAGGGGAGGGGGATATCTCTAGTTATTCAGCTGAGCAGTTTATTCAACAAGCTTAGAGGGAAAGTAGAGGCCAGAGTAAGCAGGGCTCTGCAGGAATTGGGGAAATTTTTTGTTTTCACGTAGACAGCAACAGTAGACAAAAGTACAACTTCCAAGAATGGAGCAATAAAACATTTTAAAAATTATATATCTCGTACTTGCTGAGTCCTGATATGGGATTTTTAATCATCCTATTAAAATATGCAGCCCCTGTTTCATCCACCCTTTCTCCTCCCCATGCCCTACCGGCTTTCAAGTGCCTGGAGATTTACTGCAGCAAAAGTATTTAACAGTCTGCTTTTCTTTGCCTGTATCACCACTGGATTCCTTACAATCAGCATTTTCAGGTAAAATTTTAATGGGAGGTAAGAAATCCTTAGGGAAGTTTAAAGTGAGCTACTGAAAAATAAAATAGGCCATTTCAATAACCCTTTCCTTCCTTTACCTTTTGTACTATCTGGACTTGTAATTAAAGACAGGGTAATAATGCTCTCCTACCCTGCAGTCAAGAAAGAACTGATCCTACACCAAGCAATACAGACCATTGCTGCACTGATGTTGTCTACATGACAGCTTGTCAGCCCACGCTTGGGCTGGTCTAGATGTTGGTCTTTGGGTAGACAAAGAGCCCTCACATTTTCCTCTGGAGGTATGTAAACATGGCTCAGCTATGCTGGAAGCATGAAAATGGTGTGTGGTGTTGCTCCTCTTAGTTCTCAGTTCCCCTTGAGTTTATACATCCAGTAAAACAAGACTTGAAAATGCAGGTGGTGATGGATTAGAATAGCTTTTTCAGCAATCTTCCACTCCTAGCATTCAGTGCAAAATGTGTTATAGGCTTTTACACCTGGAAGTCCATCTGGGAGCCTCAAAAAGGCTGCCTCTCTTATTTCAGAAAGTGAGATGACATCCCATTTCCTCTGGTCAGGGATGAAGGTTTGGCTTACTGATTCTTCACAACTTCCCTGGTGTTTCATGCATCTGTAACTAAGGTCTTCTTTCCTCTTGAGAGCAAATGTTCATCAACACAGAGCAAAGAAGGCGTGAAGGGTAGCAAGGGTGAGAAACCATGAGAAGGATCAGAGGCAGGAGAGGAGGTTCAGAGCGTTAGGTTTACATCTATTAGGGGGAGATGGGTATGTGCATTTTTGAGTTAGACCAAGGAGCTGTATGCTGCAAGATGGGGAAGGAGAATGGGTTTGAAAACAAGCACTGAAGCTTATGAAAGGTCATGTATTGAAGGGATGCTAGAGAAATATATTTATGGAGAAGGCACTGGTTTGTGGCACCTGTGTGCAGCACTGTCGTGGCCAAACATCACGGCAAAAGTGAACTGTGAATGCATTTGAGTACAACAGGCACTGAAAGGAAGAAACAGGGCTGGAGACAGACACAAAAATGTAAAAGGAAGCTGGGCAGGTGGCTTGTATCAACCCTCACAGTCCTCCCTGAGGAAGTCGGTCTGACATTGACCTAGCCCCAGTGGTGTCACAGGCTTGAGAAACAAAGTGGAAGTGGAGCACCCAGGTAAGAGAGGAAAGAGCAAATGAGGGGATTCGCTCCGGGCACCAGAAGTGACACCAGCCAAAGATGCACCTTGCTCTGACCTTGCAGAAACTCTGCCTTGACCTTGCAAAGACCCGCAGAGTCCTCCATGGAAAAAAACAGGAGGTGATGAACAAGCAGCTTCAGGACAAGCCTGGAGGCTTCAGTCACTGATTAGAGCCTGCTGGTTTGTACCGTTTTACCACAGTCAGATAAGGACTTGGTCCTCTTCTCATTGAAGCAAACAGCAACATTCCCCTTGACTTAATGGAAGCAAACCCTGAGGCGCTTCCTTCTGTGAAACCATCTCACTCAAGTCTATGTTTTTTTAATGCACTAATCCTTGTGGCGCTGACACAAAGTTGCACAAAACAAATATGCCATCTGTGGGATTATCCTCTGCCTTTCCTTTCTGTACAGCCCGAGACATTTTGGCTTTCTACATTTTCACCTCAGGCTTTGGGAGAAAGAGAATGGGAAAAGCCAGGTCTCTGCTGGAAAGAGACACACTTTGTCAACTGGACTTTCTATATTCCTTCCCTTGTGGCCTCCTTTCTGACTGTCTTCTGCCTGCCTCTACTACTGAGGTTTTCTTCTTATACTCATTCCTTTCTCCTCACCCCTTGTCTTTTCCATCCCTAGCTTGCACCATATTTCAATAGCAGCTGTGGTTTCAGCAATTCATGTAACAAAACCCCAAGTCCTTTCACATAAAGCATTGAAACACTCTCTTGATGGGTGATAATCCATTCCCTTTCAAACCCATTTTGCTACTTGACAGAGTTCTAGCCTTCTTTGTTAAGACTAGACATTTTTTGCCTGTTTGCTTCATTTCTGTTGGCAGACTCCCTTCTGCCTTTGAAAACAGG